GTCAGCGACTTGCGTTCCGCTCAATTGTCTCTGCTCATTAAGCGGAAATTGGCTGCCAGATAATGTGCAGTTTAAGTCACCTACACGAAGGCTTACGCGGCGTATGCGTAATGTAAGCTTGCTAGCGCATTACGTTTACGTAACGTATACGTAATGTGCGTAGCGGAAAAGATAAACGAGCGAGAGAGAGACACAGAGAAAGGAAGAATACATGTAGAAGCGGAAAATGTGCACGCTTTAAGACTTAAAGCTTTACCAAAAGATAAAGTTAATTAACATTATGGCAGCACACACACCACTAAACACACATAACACACACACACACACACACGCACACGCACACGCACAACTAAAAGTAAGTTACAAGAATTGATAAATGGCGAACAGCAAAAGGCAAGCCGAAGGAGGCCAAGCTTCGGATGCTGTGAACTGCTTTTGTGTGTGTGTGTGTGTGTGTGCGTGTGTTTGGTTGACTTAGGTGCTACGTTTAGTTGTATATGTAGGTAGGTAGGCCTGCTTCCTGTTGTGTTTTACAAAACTTCTTGACACCGCTGACGCTGGCGAAATGGAAAACGTTAGATGAAGTGCCATAAAATATTCAATATCAAGTACAGCACAGCAGCTCGCATAGTTGCAGGCAGGTGTGTCGTGCCAGCCTCCTGTCGGAAGCCGCACTGTGATTGAATGAGCGTGAGATAGTGGGGGCAGTGTGCTCAAGGAGCAGGGGTACTTGGTGGGGGACAGGTGTCAAGAGTGCGCAACAATGCAGTCATAAAGGCAAGCCTGCCTAAGCGAGTGAGAGTTGCGGGAGCTGTGTGTACTTATGTACAGTGAAGGCATGTGAAAGTGAACAATGAAGCGATAAGAAGCGGTAAGAAGTTGCTTGAGTTACATAGTAAAATATGTCTTTATAGAAACGAGGGTAGTTTCAAAAATTACACATAGAAAACGAGAATAGAAACTCAGTTGTGCAGTGTATCCTTCACAGTTACTAGCTGTATATCAATAGAGCATTATTGTATCGTATCTTTGCTAAGTATAGTGTATGGACTGATACAAGCTATGCGGTATGATCAGTCGGGGTTCAGGATATCGTCGTATCAGGGCACACTAGGCTAGAGCTTTCTTATTAAATATATTCATAAATAAACAAATGTAGAATATAAATATATATTATATGTAGCTAGTCTTTGACAGCTCTCTCCGGTTGTTTCTAGCTGTTCTTTAATGAAGCTTTTATTGCCTCTTATATACATATATGCAGTATGTAGAGCTAAGCAAAGCAAGTTGAACAATTCAATAAATAGAGTTAAGCAAGTTCAAGTATTTTCAAGATATTCTAGTTGTTCCTCAATTGAGGCTTCACTGTCTCTTATCAAATATACTAATGATAATAATATATAAGCAGTCTAGCAACAGCAAGCTGTACGTTAATTTAGGTTTTACTGTCTCTTTGCTGCGTGCGGCAGTCGATAAGCAAATGGCCAAGCAGCGCACAGAAATCAGTTAGCGGAACTCCTGCGGTATGCCAGCTAACCTCCTCTCTTTGCCCCTATTTCCTGCTCTCAGTCTCTCTATCCCACTCTCTCACTCTCTCTGGCTCACCTGCACTGCTTCGTTTGTTTTTTTGCTTAACACACAAATCGTCAAAATATATTTTTTATTACAACAATAAGAGCAGCTCACGTAGCTACGTGGCGGCGCTTATTTTAATTTTTTTTTGTTTTTTTTTTTTTTTTTTTTTGGGCGTGACCTCAGGGCATTTGGTTAGGAAGCTGGCCTGCGCCTTGAGCTATGCTACACTGTTGGCCTTTCGTTGCTTGCCTTCTTCGTCTGTGCGCTAGTTAAGTGCAGCACATCAAGCGCTAATTTATGGGCCAAAAATAAAAAACAAACCGAAAACAGAAACAGTAAAACAACAAAAAGTAAGGCAATGCCACAAGCCACAACCGCAAAGGCCGCAATAGCGCACACAGCAAACGCCACGCCCCCTCGACCATTGGCAACACATGTGCAAACAAACGCATACACACACGCACGCCAACACACCAACACACCTACTCGCCAACACACTCACACACATACATATGCTGCATTGAAACTGTTCGCTGATTTACCTTAAAACATGTTTAATTGCTTTTCATTGCATTTGTTTGTAGCTGTTGTTGTTGTTGTAGTTGTAGTCGTAGTTGTTGCTATTTTCTTTATGTAATCGCTGAACAACGCACAGGATATGCACACAAGCGCACGCACACGCGTACGCATATGTGTGTGTGTGTGTGTATGTTTGTTTGTGTGTATTTACATTTCAATTTGCCCAATGCACTAGTTACTATTTATATGTACACGCACACACATACTAATATATACATATATACATACATATGCAGGCTGCATTCGATTGTTGCAATTTGCTTTTCTGCTCTCCTTTTTCTTCTCTTTTCTTTTACTGCGGCTCCTTCAATTGGCCACAGCTGGGCACACTTTTGTTATGATTATTGCGATTGCTACTACTAGTGCTGCTTCTTCTGCTCTTGTTGTTGTTGTTGTTGTTGTTGTTGTTGTATGTATATATTTTACATTAATTACATTTTTATTTTAGTCGCGACTCTCTATGCAACAATGCTGGCCAAGCAGGCACAGCGGCACTGGCAAGAGCAACAAAAATGAAAACAGCGCTGGCACGCACATTGTTTGACACACATACACACACACACACGCATACCACGACAAATAACGACGACGACGACGACGACAACGGCGACGGCGGCGTTGCACGCACACACCTTAAGCTGAGAAGTGTTATTACAATTTACTGTTGATTTCTTTTTCTGGTTTTAAGCGCGTGCGAGCGAGCGCGCAACAGCACAGGCGTCACAGTTACTGTAAATGTGTGCGTGTGTGTTTGTTCGTTCATTCGTTCGTTGGTGTGTATGTGTTAGTTTGGTCTTGGCTTGTGCGAAAGCGTGCGAAAGAGCGCGAAAATGTAGGTTAGTTTCCGTTATATCCTGCTTTACAACAACAACAATATGCACATTTCACTCTATTTTTGGGCGCAGAAGACTTTTTCGCTGCTTGCACTTGTAAATCTCTGTTTCTCAGACTCGCTAAGTGTGTGTGTGGGTAGGTGTGTGTGTGTCCCTCAGTCTGTGTGTATGTGTCAGTGTGCTGTCTTTTCTTATAATATATGTATATATATATGACTTTTTTTGGTTTTTTGTAATATTTTATTTGTTCTTTTGTATTTGTGTGACTCGCACTACGGACGCGTGCATTGCAATGGCGACTGCTCGGTTCTAAGGTTCGTTGGTGACTGACTGCGAGCAAACGGGTTTTCCTTTCCGTTTGACGTAATCTGCAGAGCAGCCAGACGAATAAGTACCAAACAAATTTCCCATTATTGCGCACATGCCAGGACGCGCGCTCTCTCGTTTGCTCTCCTTCTCAGTGGCGTGTGCCATGTGCGTGTCGCAGCGACCCACGGCGAATGTTTTGGCCAAAATGTCAAAAGCAACCGACCAACCAGGCTAAACAGTAGAAGAAAAGGAAAACGTGGCTTCGACTCGGCTAAACTCGACATTGCCAGCGTCGATTTGCCACAGTTTTTTTTGTTTTTACTCCTGCCGGCATAAACAAATGCGCTGCTGGGCATAATAAATTTCCCACTATTTTTGCTTCATGCTGTCGTTGCTACTGCGTCTGCTGCTGCCACTTCTGCTGCTGCTGTTGCACCGCAGGCCGCTGTCTAAAAACGTCAAAATTATTAAGCCCAAAATATGGGCCACTGACTAACAAAAGATGAATTGGATGCTGCGACGCCAGCTCTTTGCTCGCCATTCAATCGAAAGCCAAGTTAACTGTAATTTTCAACCGGTGTGCCACATGGCGTATACTTCATTTCATTTTGGCCTTGAGCACGGAGGAGGGCGAAGGAGAGGTGAAGTGTTTTGCAACGGTATCTCAATGCAATTGCAACACAGCGGATAAATTACGTTTTACATATTTAACTACAAACTTATTTAAATATGTGTGTGTGAGTGTGTGTGTGTGAATGAGAGTGTGAATGGATGTGCATGTGTGTTCTTTGATAGCCAATCAAAAAGTAGACTACGTTTACTGCACAGCTCCACAATTTAAATCAAATGTTTTTCATAGTCGGTGCTCTCCTCCTCGATTCTCATAAATTCAAGTAGGCGATTGTGCTTTACTCAATAGTGATGTAGAGTATGTAGAGTATGTAGAGTATGTAGAGTATGTAGAGTATGTAGAGTATGTAGAGTATGTAGAGTATGTAGAGTATGTAGACTATGTAGAGTATGTAGAGTATGTAGAGTATGTAGAGTATGTAGAGTATGTAGAGTATGTAGAGTATGTAGAGTATGTAGAGTATGTAGAGTATGTAGAGTATGTAGAGTATGTAGAGTATGTAGAGTATGTAGAGTATGTAGAGTATGTAGAGTATGTAGAGTATGTAGAGCATGTAGAGTATGCAGAGTATGTAGAGTATGTAGAGTATGTAGAGTATGTAGAGTATGTATTGTTGGGATATGTGAGGCATGCTCCCTTGTTTCCGTGTTGCTATATTTCTACTTTTCTAGTTATATGCTTCCATACGTTCTGTGATTGTTTGATTGTTTATTGCTCTCCTCTTCCATTCTCATAAATTTGAATTAGATCTGACGGTTTCGCAAGCTTGAGCTTGCGCTTATGGATTCTATTTGAGCTTCAAGCTGATAAGAAATGTTGCTCAAAATCTTTGTAGAGAGTGGGTGGTAATAAAAGTTGCTGCCCAAGAAACTATTACATTTTGTGAGTCAAGAAATTTAAATTTATATCAAATCTAAATTAATTTAATAAACAAAAATTTTATTTATTTTTAATTATGATTTATTTTTTTAATGTTATTAATTTGTGTGTACTTCTTAAGCAACCCACTCGATCGTAGCTTTATGCCCTTATAGGAGAACACAATCGAATCTTTTGCTCAGTGCGCAATGAGAGCTCGTATAGCTCGCAGCTCTAGAAGATCTGGAGGCAGTGAACAAATACTTAATGAGCGTAAAGCAACAACGCAGCTTGAGAATTGATAAGCCACAGACGACTTCAGTTGAGTTATCGGCAACAGCTGCTCAGCGGAAATAAGCTTGAAGCGGGGCAGCTTTACTCAAGGCTCCAGCAGTGCACAGTTCCGCCATGCACTGGCATAGACTGGCCCTTCTCCTGCTCCTGGCAGCTGCCTGCTGCGCTGCCACGCCCACATCGAATCATACCAGTCAATATGAGGCGTCTACACAGCGTATACTTGATATGGCCACGCAGCGTATGCTGCGTATATGGGATATGCGTCGTCGCATCTTTCTGCAGCTCACCTCGAAAGGTAAATCGCCGCTGGGTGGCCAGGCGCCCAGCAAACAGGAAGTGGAAACAGAGACCTACAAACTGGCTTACGAGCTGGCAGCCAATCTGAGTGTTGTGCCCGTCGAGCAGCTGCAGGATCCGTTGCTACGGCGACGCGTTCAGCGCTTGGCTAAGCTGCAATTGCAGGGCTTGAAGCCAGACAACTATGAACAGGCCAAGGACCTGCTGCGAGCTATGCAGAATTTCATCAGCGGCGCCTTGGTCTGCTCCAATGATGACTGCTCGGCGCGCAGACCGTTGGCCATGTACCCGCAGCTCTACAATCAGAATATGCACACGAAGCTGTACGAAGATCTGAAGCTGAATTGGTTCAACTGGCGCACAGCTATCAATGACAAGGATACGGCCAGATCCACGTTCATTGACTATGTGCGTCTATTGCGCATCGCAGCCACCTACAACGGGCATGTGACGCCATCGAGAACTTGGTATTTGTATTATGACACGGAGAACTTCCAGGCGGAAATGGAGGAGGGTAAGATAAGGCGCGACAACTATATGAAAACTTTTATGGAATATTATAATTTGTCAGAGATTGAGACTGATTGAAGATTGATAGACTTAATCAATGATAGCGTGATTGATTGATTGATTGATAGACTGATGGAGCGACTAATAGAGCTGATAGCCGGACTGAACACTTGACTGACTGATTGACTGATAAGAGTAGTGCCAGAAGGAGTGATTGATTGATTGATGTACTGGGTAGAGATGGAAGAGTAGCTGGAAATGTATATTTATGCAATGAATGCTTAAGCGACTGAAGAACGATTGATTGATTGACTGACCGATAGACTGCTTGATTGATTGGCTGCTATTCTGTACAATGATTGACTGTTAACTGAGCAAAGGGTCTTGATTGATTAATAAACTTACTGATAAGAAGCGTAATAGATTGATTGACTGATTGACTGATTGATTGGATTGCTTTGCAGATAGAATAGCTTATTGATTGATTGCTTTGCCGATTGATTGATTGATCAACTGAACACTTGACTGACTGATTGACTGATAAGAGTAGTGCCAGAAGGAGTGATTGATTGATTGATGTACTGGGTAGAGATGGAAGAGTAGCTGGAAATGTATATTTATGCAATGAATGCTTAAGCAACTGGAGAACGATTGATTGATTGACTGACTGAGCAAAGGGTCTTGATTGATTAATAAACTTACTGATAAGAAGCGTAATAGATTGATTGACTGATTGACTGATTGATTGGATTGCTTTGCAGATAGAATAGCTTATTGATTGATTGCTTTGCCGATTGATTGATTGATCAACTGAACACTTGACTGACTGATTGACTGATAAGAGTAGTGCCAGAAGGAGTGATTGATTGATTGATGTACTGGGTAGAGATGGAAGAGTAGCTGGAAATGTATATTTATGCAATGAATGCTTAAGCGATTGAAGTACGATTGATTGATTGACTGACTGATAGACTGATAGACTCATTGATTGATTGACTGCTATTCTGTGCAATGATTGACTGTTAACTGAGCAAAGGGTCTTGATTGATTAATAAACTTACTGATAAGAAGCGTAATAGATTGATTGACTGATTGACTGATTGATTGGATTGCTTTGCAGATAGAATAGCTTATTGATTGATTGCCTTGCCGATTGATCGATTGATCAACTGACTTATTGATCGATTGATTGAAGGATTGAAGGCTTAGTCGTTCGATTGATTGAATACAAATTTGGTTGTTTGATTGACTGACCTCTGGTATATATGTATATTTATAAATTCATCCATATTCCTTAGTTATCTGGGAGATAATGCCGCTCTACAGAGAAATGCACGCCTACTTGAGGCACTCGGCTATTTTGGCCTATCCCAAGGCAAATTTCAAAGATGACGGCGCCATCTCAGCGCCCGTTTTCGACCAGATGTTGTCGCAGGCCTGGTATTCACATCAGATTTTTCGCACGCCCTTTCCCAAGGATCAGCTGCCGTCAGTGCATCATCGTCTGGAGGAGGTGCTCGTCACACCTGTTAAGATTAACAATAAGGCCGTCGAGTTCTTCGAGTTGCTGGGTCTCAATAAAATGTCCAAGTGAGCTATAGAATACCCCATTTACAGGGTATCTCTTAGTCAGTCAACGCAGTCTCAACTCTTATGCTCTTCGTTTACAGCAACTTCTACGAGCGCTTCTTGAGACGCATGAATGATGATGAAGGCGGTCCGGATTGTAAGTCCCAAGTCTATTACTTTCCACCGGATGTGGCGATGCGCTACTGTCCGAAGCCCAACTACAAGAAGCTGATGCAAACCCATGGCACCATGGCGGAGTTGCAGTACAATCTCTACAAACGCGAGCTACCTTTTGGCTTGGACACGGAGCCCTGTCCGGGCTTTGCTGCTGCTCTAGGCGAGACCGCGGTTCTGGCCTCGGGCACGCCACGTCACCTCCATCGTCTCTATATCCTATTGAACGACAGCTTAACGGAGAATCAATCGCTGAATCGACTCTTTCGCATGGGCGTTCACACGCTGTTGGCTGTGCCGCAGTATTTCATCAACGACAAATTCCTCGTGGATGTCATGGATGGTCGCATTGGCGTCCAGGATTACAACTGCGCCTATTGGCGTCTGCAGGACAAATTTGCGGGCGTACAGCCACCCATATGGCGCACTGCTAGGGACTTTGACTTGGACTATAAATTTTATCGCGGCTTGCAGCCAGAGAGATCGAACACGAGGTGGGCAGGAATACTTATATGAATTGCCTATAATAATTATTTGATAACAGAGGCTTTTGGCTTATTTTTCAGTTCCATTTCCTTTAAAGAAAGTTTATTATAGAGATCCTTGTCTCAAATAGTTTTTTGTCCTTCTTTACAGACACTGTCTAATCTTATATAGTCTTCATAGTCTTCCTTATCTTATACAGTCTACCTTCTGTGCTATAGTCGTCCAAGTCTTATATAGTCCTTCTTGGTATAGAGATCCTTGTCTCAAATAGTTTTTTGTCTTTCTTTACAGACACTGTCTAATCTTATATAGTCTTCATCTTATATAGTTTATCTTCTCTGCTATAGACTTCAAAGTCTTATAGTCTTTCTTGTCTTCTATAGTCTTCATAGTCTCATATAGAAATTCTTACCTTATATAGTCTTCTTAGTCTTATATATTCTTCCAAGTCTTATATAGTCTTTCTAGTCTTATACAGTCTGCAATGCCTTCCATACTCTTCCTAGTCTTATATAGCCTCTCTTGTCTTACATAAGTTTCCGCTTCTTTGCCTTCTTTGCTTTACACAGTTCTTTCTATTCCTTCACAGAAAATTCATTTCTGAGGTCCTTGGCTTTCAGTTCTATCGCGCCTTTTGCCTCGCTAGCAATCAATATAAGCCCGGAGATCCTAGCTATCCTCTGCACAATTGCGATTTTCACAACAGCTCTGAGGCGGGAAAGATGATGCGGTATATATACCTGCTCGACTTTGGTGATATATCCATATACTATATATCTATATATATTATTCATACAGGGAAATGATGCAACTGGGCGCCAGCAAACATTGGCGCGATGTCATGTTTATAGCCACACGTGAACGTAAGCTTAGTGGGCGTGGCATCTTGGAATACTTTGCACCGCTTTTCACCTGGCTGAAGGAGCGTAATAGGCAACTGGAATTGGAACCGGGCTGGGATGCAGATGAGCGTGAGTAGTACCTGAATTAAGTCTATGGCATATATATAATTTTAACTTATTTTCTATTTCCAGTGTGTCGCAAGGAATAACAGCTGAACTATAGTTTCTTATATATATATATATATATATATATATATCTAAATATGTGTGCCTATAAATATATATAAAAATATCAAGCTTTACGTCTGGTCTACAATTTCTACAGCCCGCACTACAAACGAGTTATGAAGATAAACTTTCCCTAGCTATCTAAAGATATAAATATCTATATCTATATGTATATCTATATCTATATCTATATCTATATCTATATATATATCTATATCTATATCTATATCTCTATATCTATATTAGAATTTTACACTTAATAATCTATATACGCTGAGCAAATGACATTTTAAGGTCAGTTAACCATATCTTTATGTACATATCTACATCAACTTTCCTATCTAAATTCATAAATTGAAAATAGAAAATTGACATACAAAAGAGTTATTTATTTTTGTTGTTTTTATATATATATACAAAGGCACTTTGGTAAAACGACAGAAGCTTAAAAACTAATTTAGATTTAACGTTAAATACATTTAGCGATAATTGTATAAGATATAAGTAAACAGTTATCATTTAGTTTGTGGGCGATTGCTTACAGTTAACTATATATATAGCGATATAAATAGTGTGCGATTCGAATCAATCGAGATCTTTGATGGTTGATGCATAAGTGATTGAATGATTCATATGACAACTTTGACATTCAATAACTTATTAAGAATCCATGTGATGTCAATAAGTTATTGAAGGATTCATATATCAGAGTTTTATAGGATTCTAATGATATTGATAGCTATGATTCTGATTCCAATTTATAATATATCTGAACTATTACTTTTTATGTTTTAAATTAAGTTATTGAATGAATCATTTGATATGAATAAGTAAGTAAATGATTCATTCATATGAGAGCTGTGACGTTTTGAATGATTTAAGTTCTTGAATACAGAATACATATGATAGTCATTATAGAATCAATTGATAGTTTTAAGTTAATCAAGTATTGATTCGAATAATAGCTTTAAGTTATTGAATGATTCGTTCATATGAAAGTATTGCTATTGGATGACTCAGACGATGGTCTTAACTTATTGAACGATGCATTAGTTGTTGAACGATTCATATGCTAGCTATAAATAATTGTTACTGGTTCTTCACATGGTTGTCTCCGAATCAGGCGGCGTATGATAGTTAAGATTGTAGGCAGGCGGACCATTATTGAGAAAGGCCATGGAGCGTATGCTCTCCCTGGAGGCAGTACGCTTTGAGAAGTTAATATGAGACTGGGCGCTGACATAAGCAGGCGCTGGCTCTGGCACAGGCGGCGGCAGATATTGTTGTTGCTGCTGCTGCTGCTGCTGTTGTTGGTGTAGTGGATGCTGCTGGTAGAGTGGCGGCGTGCAGGGCGGCTGCGGCGGGCTGGCGCTGGCACCGCTCAGACCCACGAAAACATTCTCCGCATTGTTGTAGGCGGTGGAGAGTGGGCGTGAGCCATGGAAATTGGAATAGCTAGAGCGCACAGACGGCGGACGATTGTTATACAGCTCATCGCTGGCGTGGCCAACATCATTGAGCTGTGTGGTCGAGTGCTGATAGCTGGGATTGTAGTGACCACCGCCCAGCGGTGCAGGTGGAGGCGGCGGCGGTGGCAATGGCGGCGATGCCTGCTGCTCCAGCAACATGCCCTGCCCATTGGTGTTGTAGTATATGGGATCGAGTGGTATATTCTTGCGATAGCTGTGGTAAAAGTTGCTATTGTTCATGATGTTGCTGTTGTTGATGTTGCTGCTGCTGTTGCTATTGTTGGCGATGTCCGCATTGAGACTTTGCAGATTGGAAGCTGTCAACGTGCGCTGACGATGAAACGAGCCCAGCTGCGGCTGTTGCTGCAGCTGCTGTTGCTGATGCAATTGCAACTGTTGCTGCTGCTGATGTTGTTGCTGTTGCAGCTGCAACTGTTGCTGCTGATCGAGCAACTTGGTCACCGGATTCTGTTGATATTTGCGCCGCGAGCTACGCGTGCTGCTGCGCACATAGCTGCCACTGCTGCTGTCGCCATGTCCATGTCCATGTCCATGCTTCGATCTCAACGTATTGCTGGAGCCGTGATGCGAGCGTCTGCTGCTGCTGCTGCCTCCGCCGCCAGTTGACTGCCTGCCATGCGTGCCGCGCGCCATGACCGAACGCCGTTTGACACGGCGCGGCGTCATGGGCTTCGGACTCAGCTCGCCGCCATCCTGATCCTGATCCTGATCGTGTGGATCGCCAAAGCCCAACATCACATCCGTGCGATGTCGTATCGTATCGCTTATATCAATGGAATACAGCGACTGGCGATGCTTCGACTGCTTGCTAATGTGCTTCACTGCAGATAACGAAATACAAGAAATTAGTTCGATGATCGATAAATTGTATTGTAATGCAGATATAGCTAGCTAAGTTAACAGCAGTTACCTGAGCATTGTTAGATTTTGATTTTTGGTGTGTGTGTGTGATTAAAATGTATACAGGATTAGCTACGAGAGAGAGAGACAGAGAGATACAGTTAGATGATAGCAGCTACATGAAGCCAGTTAACCAGATTATATATAGTTCGATAACGATCGATCGATAACAAAAAGCCAAAAAACATTTTGTGTAAATGAACATTTATTATTAATATTTTTAGAGGGTTAAACGCTTTGCAGAATATATATTGGCACGCAATCAGCTCGTAGAACTATATAGACTCTATAAGTAGAACTACACACATATATATATATATATACTATATAGATCGTTCTGCCTATTAACTAATTAGCGAATTTCTCTTGTGTAAAGCTTAACAACTAGTCTTAACAATTGATATATATATGTATATATAGATATATCTATATGTATAACGAATTTCGTTTAAATTTTTTAAATTTCTTTCTTTTTATATTTTTTTCAACAAAAAGTTTTCTTTTTAAAGGCATTTTGGTTGCATTGGCAAATTTAAATATTTTGATTTTTGTTTAACAATTTTTGTGACATTTTTTTGTGTGTGTTTTTAATAATTTGTTATCGTTATGTAGTATCACAGTTGAACATAAAATTATGAAGGCATTTGGACTTTCCGCTTAGCGTTACGTTTATCTTCCCATTATATTCCCTTCCCAGTTTATAGTTTCTTTCTTTATCTCGTTTCATGTCGTTTCGTTTCGTTTCAATTGTTGTGTTTGTTTCTTTTTTGTAACATTTTTCTATCACATTTCATAATGTTGTTTGCAGCCATTATGGAAAGTCTCATATGAGAGCGCGTATGTATGTATGTATGTATTTTGTTTTGTGTTTGTCACATAATTCAGTGAATGGCTATCAAGGCATCCGATATTTAGCTTAAATCTAGTTATTTTTTATCCACTTCAAGTGCTATGCAAGGCAAATCTAGACGCAAAAAATTATTTAACTTTCTTTTTCATTTAATTATAATGAAAATGTTCGTTATTTTGTGCATTTTTCTAGATTAAATTTCTTTAAGTGTAAGAAATTAACTTTTCTGTTTTCCATTTGCGTGAGCTGCAATTGGAGCAGTTGGAATTCGATATAATTGAGAGTGTTCCGATATCATGCGGGAGCAATTCCTGGGAACAGCTTCGATTAATGCAATTCCTGTGACTTATATGACACTTAAAGTGAGTACAGTTTAGTATTAGTCTGTTCCTATAGATTACTTAGAACAAATTGGGTATAGTTTGTTTCAGTGAATCTACAATCTACGCTACACTCAAACTGAAACTCGAACTGCGAACAACAGCATATAAACAGACAACAATTGGGTACAGTTCATTAAAATGTGGCTATACCGTAACACAGTGAACAATTGAGAACAATTCGTTAAAGTGAGTAGAGCTAAGTATTGGTGTGTTCCCTGCTGAAACTGGGAACAGCAGTAAACAACTGTGAACAGTTGGTTTAAGTGTCTACAGCTAAGCATGTAACTGTTCTCAACGCTTGTTACTTAACATTGCAGCTGGGAACAGTTCTAAACTGAGCACAGATCAATATTTGTTTTTGTTTTTCAGTAACTGTAACTGGAAACAGTTTTTGGAAGTCGAAACCATTCTCTTGCATTGCACTTAAAGCGAGCACGCGTAATCTGTCCCTATCTATAGTGTGCCTAGGTCGTGCTCGTAGTATGTATTAAAATTAAACTCTGTTAGCCACAACAAAAAAGATGACAACACATACTAAATCGTAATATACAGTTAGTTAGTATGGACAAACACATGACACACAAGCGGCAAATCTGGCCCAGCACCCGCAGTAGAGGTTTATATATGTTTATCAGAGAGAGAGAGAGAGAGAGATGGTTATATAGACACTAAGAGTTGTAAAGGAGCTGAACATACTTGAGTCAAAGAGAGCGTGAAAGAGAGAGAGACAACTGCAGCTTCGGTTGAAATAAGAGCGAGTAACGCCTGAATAATCTCTAAAAGTCTATAAGATTTGGTCAAAAGGAATGCAGCACAATGAGGATCTGTGTGTGAAATGCTTTTAGGCTTGGGCGCCCACAATGGAATTGCAAAAGGAGCGCGGACGAGCTTTGCGTCCGCTGCGTCGATTGACATGCGGCGCTGACTGCGATGGCGATTGCGATTGCGATTGGGACTGCGATGGTGCCTGCTGCTCCTCCAGCTGATCTTGGCTACGGGCGCGCAACATATAGCCGGGTGGTGTGTCGCGTATCTGATCACAGAAATTGGCCGGAGCTGGATGTGGACGTGGTCGACGCTGACTGCGACGCACCATGGGCGAGCCACTGGGCACATGCTGTGTGGGCATGGCATATTTTTCGGCTATCTCGGGCGAGAGATCAGGGTAGGGCGCTTGACCCAGACGTGGCTGAAAGATATGCGGACGTGGCACAGGAGGAGGCGGAGGCGACAGGGTTAGTTCCGACTCCGGTTCTGGCTCGACATGGCAGCTATGTATGGGCACAGTGGGCAGCGGTATTTGTGTGGGACGTGGCAGTTGCTTATAGCTGGAAATGGTTGACAAAGGCAAAGGCAAACCATGCTGCTCATATGGATAATGGTTGTTGTTGTTGTTGTTGGCCTGTTGTGGATGAGAGCTGAAGGCTATGTGCGGCGTGCCCACATTATTATTCTCGACAAACAAGCTATTGGGTGTGGGACTCTGAAAGGGCACATAGGTCACGCCATTGTCGCCATTGGGCGATAAATTGTGCAACGAGAAACTATCCTCATCCTCTTCCAAATTGCGTGAGAGTCTGGCCAAAGCCACGTGGGCATATTTGATGTCTGGCAAAGATTTGGGAGCCTTGGGCTTATGATGAATGCGTGCGAAATGTCCACTGGACGTATCATTGCAAATGCTATAATTGCTGTTGCTCAGCTGTGGATTCGAGTTCTGCAGCGAGGCATATGAGAGCGAGGAGGTTGTCTGCGGTGACATGGACATGGACATGGACAGGGACATGGGGCTGACAGAGTTTAAAGCAGGTGATTTGCTTTGATAGAGACGCTTGCGCTGCTGTTGCTCTTTGTTTTGGCTCTCAATGTGGTTCAGTTGTGGTTGCTGCGACTTGCTGCGAGTGTTCTTGCTGCTGTTGCTGTTGTTGTTGTTGTTGTTGTTGCTGCTGCTGCTGTTGTTGTTGTTGCCACTTGTGTGGGTTAAATGTGGTTGGTATGCATTAAGGTTATTTGCTTGCTGTGCTTGTGGCTGTTGATGAACATTGCTGAGTGTATTATTGTAGCTGCTGTTGTTGCTATTGTTGTTGTTGCTCGATTTGTGTCTGTGTTGATGATAGAATTGCAGTGAGTATTGCTGCTGCTGCTGCTGTTGCTGCTGCTGTTGTTGCTGCTGCTGCTGCTGCATATGCTTATTTGATTGCATTGTTGCGCTTGCAGACGTTGTTGGTATACTTGTATAGCTCACGTACATTGGATGGACGACGGTGTGCTGTGGACTCTTCGCATCGCCGTTCATGAAATCGACTGTAAACCAGAAATTGTTTAAGATGCTTTAACATTATAAATAAAATACAAATAAAGTGTGTATTATGTGTGTGTGTGTGCGATTAAACAGCAAAAGCAATTAACAATTAAATAACAATCAAAAATTATTGCTCTTCTCACTGGATTCATAACATAATTATAACATAGATTACGTTCACGAGCATATATATGTATAAGATATGGTATATGATTTGTGATAAATGTATAGAGTATATATGTATATGGCATATGGTTGTTTCTGCTATTCATAACATTTGTTTCACATTCGTTTTATAAACATTTCGCTAGGTTAATCAAAAACAACAAAATGGAAGACATTCCGGGCAGGTTTTCTTTTTTGTATATATCAAAGCATTGAAATTCATATAACATAACACAGTTCACTTCTCTTTTGTTTATAAATAAATATATAGTTTAACAATTATATATATAAACATGACAGTCGTTGCGTACACAAACATTCAGCTTAAGATTTTGGGAACTTTGGGAAATTATTATAAGAAATAAAAATATATATACAAAAAGTTGGTTAAATCAAAAGACAAATCTACAAATTGTTAGAAACCAATTACCAAAGAGTGCTTGACTTTTAGACAAATATATATTGATATATATACATAGTTGTATGTGCTTTGAATTTGTAGTGCTTTGCAGCAACTTACATCTGTCATCCTCATCGAGAAATATGCAGCTGATTAGAATCGCACCAAGTATGCCCAGCAGCTAAACAGACAGGGAGAGAGAAAGAGTCAGACAATTGATGACAATTCGTAGCACTTAAAATTGATTAACATATATATATATATATATACATATACGTGTGTGTTTATATAGATATATATATAGTTTGCTCACCGCCAGCGCGCATTGTACACCAGAATGTATGACCTCAACGAGCGTATAGTCCAACAGACAATCCTCCACGCGCTCCGGCCTCAAAGGTCGAAACGGATCATCCGAGGTGATGTTATAGGTGGGCTTACAGCCATAGCCATTCGCCTCGAACCAGGAGACGCTGCCAGTGCCCATATTAAGCAAATCGCCATCCTATAAGAGGAAAGAGACGAAAGAGAGAAATTAATGTAGAGAATTGATAAGCAAAGATATTATAATAGAGCTATATCGAAGTAAAAGCAAGAGAAAGTAATTTATATAATAAAATAATTTACATAAAAAAATATATATAAAATAGTCTACAGAGTATAGGAGATTTTGTGATACGACTCTCTTAAGCCGATAATTGAGAAGGAGTTAAAAACAACCTTTGTAAGACTTAAATGTACAAACACGTATATATTTAGATTGATGAATATATCAACATATATATAAATGGATTCTATTAATCATCTAAAAGAGGTTGAAAGCTGTTTACTTCACTTAAAGAAAATCTTTTCAAATACAATTTGCTGCCTCATAAAAGCAAATCGTTTTTTTTTTACTTTATAAATACCATGTTTAATCAACCTAAACCCTATTTCCCATATGTTATTTGTGTTTTGACCCCAATTGCTTACCTTATCCAGGCTGCCGACATTCAAATAGAAGCATATTAAAAACGCATTCCAGCCGATCCACACAAAGTTCCATAATAAATACTGTGAAATCAAATTTGGGTTATCGTCAAATGATTTGTTATCTCTGGCTGCCTGGGCTAGGGGTGTACTTACGGTTATAATGTATTTGATTCTAAAATGATATGCACCATAGAAGCCAAATATGATGAATAATATTTGAAAAAAGTTGACCAATATGGGCGCCCACATATATCCGAGAAAGTCGAATACCTGGCGTTCGATAATCGTTATCTATCGATTGTTTAACAATGGGAACAGATATCAAGCATTGTTTGCATGTCCATAAAAAATAGGGAAATAAAATAATATTAGGGTCAACCATATGGCAGTCTCTCTCTCTCTCTCACGCACACACTTACCATTTGCAGGAAGCATGTTGACAGCAGAAAGTGTCGCCGTGTACACGAACACGAGCCCATCACAACATAATTATTCCATTCATTCAATTTGTGCCAAATATTATGTGCATGTGTGTGTTTTGGTGTATTTGGATTTGTGTGTGTGTATTATCTGCAGTTCCAGTGCAGAAAGCTGCATTGATTTAGTTCAACTCTCTTACACACACAAATACACGCAGCACTGGTTCTTTTATGTTGTTTTGTTTCTTAGTTTTTTGTTGATCGTTGTTTTCTTTATGCAGGCGCTTTATCTGCTTCTGCTTATGGTCGAGTTTTTTCTATTGGCATTTCCGGGGGTTGCGTTCTCGCATTTAACCTGTCCAGTCAGGCAGTCAGGCATCCACTTGTTCTCTTTCGCACCTTAGAATAATATGCTTAAAAGGGAGACGAAGAAATGTAATGTAATGCAGCTGCAGCGAGGACAGGCACTTGATGACTGGAAAACCTGATCTGTGTGAACTAAAAGTAAATAAAAAGAAATTAATACGAAATGAGCAGCAGCTACCGAGAGAAACTTCGTTGCTCTCCCTCTCTCACACACACACTTGCACACAAGCAAGCAAACATACTTATGCACTGGCAGCATATTTATGTAGGTATGCATGTATGTATGTAAACAAGTATTACGTGCACATGAACTTATTCATTTTTTTGAACTATTCCATTTTCTTTAACTACGTATGCAAGTGTATACATACTCATACTCATATATATATATATATATATATATATATATATATAATATTTAACAACTTCAGTAGCGCTTGAGTGACCGCAGTCATAATTTTAATTATGCTACACCACACTCATCCAATACACAAGCACTATGTTCCCATCAGGGACATACATTGGCGTATACAAAAATTATTGCAGCTCCCACATTGGTAAGCAAACTAAAAGATTTGCTAAACACAACTAAGGCTTGCTCTTCCAACCCTCAGCTAAAGCTAGCGGATCGCACCAGCATACGCTTTGTGGAGGCAAATAATGCGGCGACCGTTGTCTACACCGAGGAGAAGTTGATTCTGCTCTTCTATGCGGATAAGCCAAGGACAATCAAGACACCGAAGTTGGTTATCTTCATGCTAAAAGTTATAGTCGCTAACTGTTTCTCCTTTACAGTTATGAGCATCTAAAGAGCATCTCTGTTATGGGTGGTCATATAAAAAACTCCACAAAAGGCTCTGCGGCGGCTTTAAAGCTGTTGATGTTAACTGAAACGAATGTGGTCTTTCTTTGGTATGAGAATACGCAACAGTTCTACAGGCAATTATAATTGAACCTACTTCAACTCTGCAATCGCTAATCAAGCTGCCTTTTTCAGATGCATCTTCGCGCCCATTCGCATGCCACAAATCAAGCGCATCTTGTACAAATGCAATCAGGTGCTGCTGCTCTCCATGGATGGCTGCGTTTATCGTGGTAAATGCCACCAGCTGGCTTTGCCCGCCAGTTCTCAAGAGAAATCTAAGCCCAATTTGGATATATGGCAAAATAATGACCAGCATCGCACAGAAATCTCTAGGGAACATTACATTCGCATCGATTTGCAGCGTGTGCCAAATGTGGATCGTGTTGTGGACATTGTGTGCGATGAGAGCTTCGTCTCGTTTGCAGTGCTTCAAGAATCGCATTTGAAATACTTTCGAAAACCCGCTTTACCCAGACGTGAGCACAGCTTTAAGAAACTTTACCATGACACCAGTGAAGCGGATGCTGTGCATGATTTAGTCTTTCATGTGGATGGCGAACGCTTTGCGGCCCATAAGTTCATAGTCTTTGGACGTGCTCCCGGCTTGAGAGAACTCATACGCGCGTATTTGGATAAGAATATCTATTTAAATTTTGAGAATCTAACGGGCAAAATGTTCGAAGTGGTGCTGAAGCATATCTACACAAATTATTGGCCCACAGAGGAGGGTGAGTAGCTGGCTTAAGAGTTTCGAATAACTGACTAACTCGCTTTCTCTTGCTAGACATTGACTGCCTGCAGCAGAGCTTGGGCCCTAGCAAACCAGCAAAGCGCAGTCGCGTCTGCGAAATGTTCCATGCACATCTGGAAAAGTTCCAACTACATGAGCTGGCCAAATATGTCAACAAGTGAGCAATTGGGCCACTCCTAGACTCTCTCTATTTATACTTTTAATCTTCCTCAGCTACCTCACCGAGCAGCAATTCCCCATGCCACCGCGGCAGCGTTTGAATCGTCTGCAACGCTCGCAATATCCAGAGCTCTACGATGTGCGCATTGTCTGCGAGGATAATCAAGTGCTAGAAGCGCACAAATGCATTCTAGTTGCGCGTCTCGAATACTTTGAAATGATGTTCATGCACTCGTGGGCCGAGCGCACCACAGTTCACTTTGATGGCGTACCCTTTGAGTACTTGGAGCCAGTGCTGGATTATCTCTATAGCCTCGATACGGAGGCATTTTGCAAGCAGAACTATACGGAAACGTTTCTGTATAATATGATTACGCTTTGTGATCAGTATTTCATTGAATCGCTGCAGAATGTGTGTGAATCCCTGATTCTGGATAAGATTAGCATTCGGAAGTGCGGTGAGATGCTGGAATTTGCCACGATGTACAACTGCAAGCTGCTGCAGCAGGGCTGCCTCGACTTCATCTGCCAGAATCTGGCGCGTGTTCTTTGCTACCGCAGCATCGAGCAGTGCGAGCCGAATACACTGCAGCGACTCAATGACCACTATCGGGGAATGTTTCAGTCGGTCTTCGATTATAGACAGATCACGCCGTTTTCGGAAGCAATTGAAGATGAGCTGCTGCTCAGTTTTGTTGATGGCTGCGAAGTCGATTTGGATTATCGAATGGATGCGGTTCGTTTTGGCAATTGCTCAATATAAAACTGAAGTCCTTTACACACTTAACTAACCTAAACACTTTGCTTTTCTTAGGATGCCAAGCTAAAGGAGGCCAGCAAGCAAAAGCAGAAGGAGCTGCACAACAAACAGGATGCACGTCATTACGAACAGCAGGCCATATCCAGCATGATGCGTTCGCTGAGTCTAAGTGAAACAACAGGAGCAGCTCAAGCAACCACAGCCACATCGCCCGAGTCAGCAGCGTCAGCAGCAAATGAGGCTAAGAACTGGTCGCGCGTTGTGGACAAAAAGGAGCAAAAGCGCAAGCTGGCCGAGACGGCGCTCAAGGTCAACAGCGTGCTCAAGCAGGAGGAGCAGCCGTCGCCGGAGCTTGTGCCCATATCGCCACGTGCCATGCATATAAAGGAAGCAACGCCTCCACCGCCGTCAGCTAACAGTTCAGCTGAGTGCAGCACGCCCTTGAGCAAGAGCTACAATCTGGACTTAAGTTCCTTAATGCCGCAGTCGGCTAAGCTGTCGCAGAAGCAGCGTAAGCGTCTCTCGTCCGAGTCGCAAAGCTGGCGGGCGCCAGTGGAGTTGAATAGCTCCGCACCTGTGCCAGTGCCCAATGCTTGGGGCGTCACAGCCAGCTCTCCGAGCTCATCATACGCCGAGCCGTTCAGCTCACCAGCTGCAGCTGCGACGGGCAGCAGCGCAGATCCCACTTCGTTTGCCAATATGATGCGTGGTGGCCAGGTAGCTAGTCCGCCTGAGCCCGGCAATAGCTTCTCACAGATCCTCGCCGATGAGCGCCGTCAACGCGAGAGCTACGAACGCATGCGCAACAAATCGCTCGTTCACACTCAGATCGAGGAGGCGGCCATAGCCGAGCTGCGCGAATTCTACAATGTGGATAACATTGACGATGAGACAATTACCATTGAGCGCAAGTCGAGGCCCAGCAATATTAATTTTACCACCTGGCTGAAGCACTGAAGTCCCCAAATAGTTGCTAGTACATTTATTTAGGTGTGTGTGCGTGTGTGTGTGTTAGTGTGTGTGCATCTTAAATGAAGTTAAGATCTAGCCAGTTGCTTAGAAATTCGTCTCAGATGTAGAACTCGGAGCCACCTGCAAAGGTGCATTAAGACTTCAGCAATGCAAAATTAAGAGAGGCTAACTTAAAGAAGTGGACAACACACAGCGGCTGTAGTACAGTGAACGCTCGGCATGTATAACTGCCCGAAAGATCTAAGATTTTTTTTACTGATTAGAATTGTATTTAAGCATAAATTGTTTGTCAAATTCTGACTAGATCCTTGCAAAGGATGTTCAATAATATTGTCAATGAATGTAAATGTATATATATTTTGAGAAATATATATATATATATGATCTAAAGCAATGATGTTAATTATTATTCTACTTGGATTCGATTTGTGTTTGTAATTTATGAGACTCGTCGTTTAGGGATTTTAATTGGCATTCATCATTATGTTGTTTCTCTTAGTTCATCTAAGCGAGTGATCACTGTACTATTCATAATCAATCTTAGCATATCCCAAAAGACAACACATGGCCATTTTCCACTCGCAACCATAAACCCACATATAGAATAACAATTTTTTATTATAATGCATTTACGTAGATATATATATATATATATATAAAGATATATTTACAAGCTGGGACACACGCATAGCGAATGAGGCAACAAAGCACGAGGACGAATAAATAGAACAAATAGAAAACAAACCCAGAACCTAATTGAGATGAATATGAATTGAGTATTGAGTAGGGTTTTGAGATGGATTGGGATTGGGATTGGAGATGCTGCGGGAATTGAAGATGAAGATGGAAGTGAATATGAATGATAAAGGCAAAGGGCATGGGAGCAGGAAAAGGAATGGAAATGGGAATGGACATGGGAATGAGAATTGTTGGCGAACTCAAAAGCACTCCTTACGAAAGGCAAATCCGTATTGATCACACTTGACGCGCAGCGTCTTGGCCAGCTGAGGTGGACCGCAGTAGAAGACAGTGACCTTGCCCTTCTGCTGTGCCTGCAGCTGCTTGAAGACCTTATCCCAATTGGGTCGGCCCGCATTGGTGCGGGTTTTGAGGCCAGTGATGAGGTCCCGTTTGCCCTGCAGAAGAGTTGCAATGTGAGAGTCGGATTATCATGGGCTAAACAGGTCTTCATTACCTTCTCGTGCAGCAGATCCAGAGCTAGCTGCAGTCCAACCGCCTTCATGTCCGTGCGCTGCAGCGCGCTGGTTATGTACATGTGCATGTCCAAGAAGCTGGCAAGAGAGCGAACCTCCGTTAGGATTAGTTGCTGTTTGGATTCATTGGGTCTTACCGCTCCATGGCGCCTCCCAGCTCCGCCTGCTCGATCTCCAGCTGCGAGAGCAGATTGACGAACCACTCGAACGAGCGCTGATCCCGGTTGATCCAGAAGAAGTCCACCTTGCGCAGATTCATCACAGATTTGGGTATCTCGCTGGCCCACTCGAACTGACATCTCGGGCAGCTGTGCCGCGCCTTCCAGTAGCGATGCATGATGGACTGCAAGATCGAGGCGAAGGGCGTTACCCCAATGCCAGTGCCAATGAGCACCGCATGCTGAGCACCAAAGATGTGGCTCGACGGAGCGCCATAGGGACCATCTATGAAGATCTGAAACGGTGCAGGGATTAGCAGAGGATTAGGGTTAGTCTAGCGTGTGTTTAGCTCTGTGTATGACGCCCACCTCCATGACGCCTGCATCGAGTGTGACCTTGCTACCGCTGTTAGTTGTGGAGCTGCCGCCGCCGCCACCTCCTCCTCCGCCGCCTCCGCCCCGATTAGTTATGGAGGTGGACAGCGTGCGCAGAAATGTGGGTCGACGCAGGCGCGACTTTCGATTGCCCGTGTTTGTGTTATCCTTGGAGAGCAAGCAATATTTGTTAGGTTAGTCTTAGGCATTAGGGATTAGTTTGTTAGCTTCTGCCCACCTCCAGCGGCTTCTGCTCCGCGCACAGGCTGAGCCGCGTTAGCTGCTCCGAGCCACCTTCCGCCTGCTCCGCTGAGCTGACTTCCATGCTGCCATTGCTATCAGCTGCTGCTGCTGCTGCTGCTGCTTGCTGTGCCTCGCTCAGCTCCAGGCTGGGCGTCTTGAAGGCTATGATGGTGGGCTTGTTGCGCATGTAACGGAAACTCTGCGCCAGCGACTTGTTCTGCGGACTCAAATAGGCCAGGCCGACGCTATTGTTGCGAGCACGTCTCAAGCGCTGGTCATCAAAGGCGCGCTCCGACTCGGAGCGACCCAAGGCGCGCAGTCTGCAAAGGATTCGAATTAGAGATAGGGCAGAAGGGGGTTGATATTAGAGAGAGAGCTGTGTCTAGGCTAGCAATGAGAGAAAGGGTTAACATAGAGGTAGAGAGAGAGGCAGAGAAAGAGCAAGGAAGCGACAGTCTAGGCTGACAGGAAGAGAGAGAGAGAGAGACGTAGGAATCGGAATAGGATAGAATATTTATGTCTATCTTGGCTCATAGAGAGCGGCACAGATGTATGCATCCCAGCTAGGCTTATGGAGAGAGGGGGAGAGAGAGAAAGGAAGCTCCAGGCTAGGCTGATAGGAAGAAAGAGAGACAGAGAGAGGGACGTAGGAATCTGAGCTGTCTAAGGATAGGATAGAATATATATTGCCTATCTAGGCTCATAGAGAGCAGCACAGATGTCTGAATCCCAGCAAGGCTTACAGAGAGAGAGACAGAGAGAGAGAGAGGTATATCCAATTGCAATCTTAGCTAAAACTTACGCCTTAAGCCGACTACGCTTCTTGCTCTTCATGCTAATGTCCGGCAGCGAAATGCTCTTCTCTAGGGGCCGCTGCTTGTGGCTCGCTTGCTCGCGCTCCGTCTCGCCCAGGAAGGCGCCATTGGCTATGCCTGAGTTCTTCGGCTCCGACTCTTTGCGTGAGAAGGTGCGCTGCAGGCTCTTCTTAATGCTTCTAATGCGATTGACGCCTGTGGTTGGGGCTGGGGCTTCCAGCGCAGCTGCTGCTGGCTTGCGATGCTGCCTGGGTGGACGTGGCGGCGGCAGCTGTTCATCCGGACTGCCACCCCGGCTGGCCATGGTGCGGGCCAGGAAGTCCGTCTGAGGGGTCGTCGTGCCAGGCGGACGCGAGATCTCAGCCAGAGCTGGATTGCGTGCCTCGTTGAGCAGCATGAAGCTGGGTGTTGGTATCGCGTGCATATGCGTGTTCACCTCGCCCTTGTGCAGCTTCTGTTGCTCCCTCTCGAAGTAGCGGTAGAGGCGATTCGTCCACTCGCCCACGGTGCGTATGTGCAGCCACATATAGTCCTCCTGCTCCGGCGCCGAGCTAATCGTAAACGGATGCCATTCGTAGTTCGCAATGGCTGGTATGTTGACAAAGACATAGTCGCCGGGCCGAAAGTTGAAGTTGAAGGGCCGCTTGATGACCAGGTGGATCACCTTCGAGGGCAGCAGCAGGCCGGAGCTAATGTAGGTCTTGCCATGCTCGCCGCGCATCCAGACAAAGCGCAGCACACGCTCCACAATGTAGACCAAGCCGGGCAGCATGAACCACTTCCAGAAGTTGGGCCCATGGAAGAGCGTCAGTATCCAGAAGGGCACATAGAGCAGGTGCGTCCAATAGAAGACCTCAAAGCTGCCCTTGCGCCGCACAAACGGCTGCGAGCAGACAAACATCACAATCAATATGGCCAGCAGGGCCACGCCCGTGGGATTGGCACAGCCCGGTATCAGGCCGAACAAGCCCGGGCGATCGGTCAGCAGCCATTCGCCTATAGTGAAATGTCCGGCGTTTATCTGCGGATCGTTGATCACAATGATGGAGAAGTTGAACAGATGCATTATCGTGTGCACCAGGCTCAGCACCGAAATGGTAATGCCCGTCAGCTTGTGCAGATAGACATGATGATCCAGCGGCAGAAACGACGATAAGCCACGCGATCGTAGGTAGGTCAGCGAGTGGCGCAGCATCAGCACCAAGACCCAGGCGCAGTTGAAGTTGAGGCACTGCCCTGTGTGCAGAAGGAAACCGGATTAAGGTGGCTAACTGACAGGAGCTAGACTCCTAATGGAATTGACCAGGCTGCCTGGGAGTTCCGCTTATAGAGGAGTTCAGATCAACTCGGCTACTCACCACAAGCTCTTGCTATGATCACAAAGCCATTGCTGGCACGATACTGTATGGCACGGGAGATGAACAGGCAGAGGTTGACGGCAATGTAGAAGAACAGATACGTGACAAACACCTGGTTGTTCTTCATGTAGGCCAGCGTCAGCTGGTGAGGTATTGTGTGCCACAGCCGCGACGTTTTGCTGCCAGACGGCAGCTCCTCGGCGATGGGCACCAGCCAGCGATCAATGCTGCAAAGTAGGAGAAATATGAAATCTATATCCGCAGCACCTTCCAACAAGTTCTCTATCTACGTAATGCTGAGATTCTCGAGCAGGCCGCCATGCTTGTGCAGTTGATTCTTGAGCGCCTCGTAGGTAATCTCGCCGCTGTTATGCGGATCGGCATCCTCGAACATGGCGCTGGTTAGATCCTCAATTTGATCCTCGGAAAACTCCATGCCGTTCTCCTTGATGCAATGCCGTATCACATCGTGCAGCTCCTTGTGCTGTATGAGACCATCGCCTGGAAAATATCATGCGAATTACTTATGGCCTCTCTTGGGCTAGTCAACGCACACACCGTCTATATCGTAGACCTTGAAGAGAAACCTTATCTTGTCATCAGCCGATTGTCCTGAGAACTGATGTATGGCATCTATGAACTCCTGCAGCGAGATGGAGCCCGAGTTGTCCTTGTCGAATATTTGGAAAACGCGCTCCGTAAAGAAGGGCTGCAATGCAAATGGGTTAATCCTGCTGTTGTGCATAGTTGACTGGCTTAGTTCCCTTACATTCTTGGAGGTGACAATTTTTTGGAACTCCTCGCGTCGTATCTCCTGCTCATTGCCCACAGTGTTGCGAAAGAGCTGCTCCAAGCGCGCCAGCGAGCTCTTGTCGAAGCCTGTGCGGGGTCTAAAGGCAAAGAGTTGGATGATGATGAGAAGGATGATGAATCGTTATATATATTCATATATATTATATATATATTTAGTGCTAGGAATATCAGTAAAATTAAGATCTATTGTTGTCTACATCTCCCATCTCAGACTCTTTGAGTTCCCATTACATTCAGACTTCTCTTTATAACATTACCTGGAGTTTGTCAGATGTGAAATAAATTCC